AAGGCATCTGTAAATTAGACTTGATTGAAATGGCAAATTATGTCACCTGGAAGAAATGGATGTGTAGTAGATTCAGGACAGGGATTCCCAGCCTGCAGTTTATTAGCTGTTTCTGCCTTTTGAAACCTGTAAAGGGATTTTCAAATGAAAGATATTCTTGACAGAAAGAAGTCTGAGCCTAAGGACACCAAAGCTGTCAACAAAACACAATCCAGAGGCACCGGTGGTTGAACTCTCCCAATCCCTGCTGCTTCCCTGGCCCTTCAAATGCTGTAAGGCAGCAAGAAGACATGCAGAGAAATTGCAGGCTGTCTATGAAGGAGGTGTAAGCCTCTGTATCCTCATAAAATGTCACACTGCCAGATTAGCTGAGGGCTCAGTTGCACTGGGCTTGATTTGTACACCTGGAGCTAACTTCACCCTGCACTTTGGAGAAAGTTGCTTCACGTGCTACAGTATTTCTCATTTTCGAAACCTCAAAAGCAATGGCAACATTTTAGAGTTATGTAGTGGGAGGTATTTTACCAGATTCATCCAGATCCATGTTGGGCTTTTTTTTCTGCATGAAAAGTACTGAATAAATCTAAGTTGTTAAGTGACTGGGGAGTGCAGAGACTCCTTGAAGGCAGTGAACAGATGTGTAGGCTGAGTGAGAAATGATAAGAGAAAACTGAGCTTAGAGTGCTTGGGCTTCATCAGACTTCACATTACTTAGACCATTAACAGAGGAATAGAGAGAAATATGAACTGAGGAATGTTATATATAAGGACTTAACATTCATGCCTGTCATTCTTTTATGTTACCCTTTCAAGGAGGGGATGATGCACTGTTGGCCTCTTGCAGAGCAATGGCTTTGTTAGGCCCATTTAGGACTCAAAGGTACTTTACATGTATTTTTCAATATAAGCTCTATTTATAATTCTATAGATTCCAGTTCTATTAAAAATTCTACCTTTTTTCCAGCAAGGGGAAATCTTTGGCTTTTTACACCTGTTCTCAATAATGACCTCTGTGCTTTAAAACAAATGGAATAATTTTCAGGGTTTAATGAGCTTTTGCCTTCAACAGCTACAAATAATCTAATTATCTAACCACTGTGCACACTGGATGATTTAAGAATTAAAGACACAATTAGAATCTGTTACAGTAATTAGAATCTATTTTAAACCAATTGCCTGTGGCATTACATGGTCTAGTGAAACAAAGGCTTCTGGCTAAATGCTCTTCTTCTACTAAATGCAAAAACAAATGTTACCACAATTTACTTTTTTAAAACTGATAAAATCAAGATTTCAGAAGTCAAGTAAACTAAACTATCTGTGCTTTTTTCTGCTGTTTTTAAAATGCTTCATATATCACTAAAGCCAATGGAAGGAAGATCACTGATTGCCTTTGGTTAAAATTGACTGAATATATTTGTGTATTTAGTGAATAAAAGGAAAATTACACATTTAGTGAACAAAAGTGTAATTAATTGGGTACACTAGAAGTTATAATCTAGGTAAGTTGGGTTCAGGCCCAACAAATCAGCTAGAAGTATTTGCAGGAGTCAGTGAGCAGGTGGATAAGGGTAATCCAGCTGATATAATGTTCCTGGATTTCCAGAAATCCCTGACAATACTTTTTGTCAAAGGCTGTTAGTGAAATTAAATCCTAATGGCAATAGAAGAAAGATTTTCTAGTAGAAAAAGAATGGGTTGAAAGACAGAAGGCTGAAAGAGAAGTGGTAGGATTAAATGGTTTGTTTCCATATTGAGGGTGGTAGAAGGCAGCATCTGACAGCCCTGTATGTTCACCAGTGCTGTTCAGTTCAGCCTGAGCTGTTTGCATGGTCAGTGGAACTGATTCAATGTGCTGCCAGCACACAACTCTTGACTGTTTCCCGCTTCTTCCTCTGCTAAAATGAACCTCCGCACAGGGGAACATAACATCTTTCATTTCTTTCTCTTGCTTTTTACCCTCCATCTCATACTTCACAAAAGTTCATATGTCGCCAGCTGAACTGCAAACTGTAGGAATATAGAGAAGTCAAAGGGTGTCTGAGGCTGGAGAGCAAAACCTTGAATCTGAATCTGTAAGTGAGATGGTAGCCACACCAGGTGCTGTGGAGGGTGTGTTGTGCCCACCACTAGCTCTGCCTGTGCCAGATATCATAGAATGGTTTGAGTTGAAAAGAACTTTCAAGATAATCTCATTCCAACTCCCCTGCCCCAGCTAGGGACACCTTCCACTAGACCAGGTTGCTCAGAGCCCCATCCAACCTGGCCTTGAGCACTTCCAGGGATGGAGCATCCACAGCTTTTCTGGGCAATCTATGCCAGTGTCTCACCATCCTCACCTCACTCCCAGTGAGAGATATCAGCCATAGCTGTGTGAAAATGTAAAGAGTTAAATCATTTATAGCCCTGTCACTCTAAGTAGCACTGGGATCCTGGAGACTGGTAAATCATACATGGGGCACCTCTTTGTTCAGAAAGCATTTCCTGTTAGTAAGTGATATAGAAAGCACCTTCAGAAACCCATTTCCTACATATTCTTAGCTGGATGGTGGCAGATCAGGAGGATAAGGGTTGATGACTGACTGATGATGACTGACTGACAGCAGGTTGCATGGGTGATCTGGGATCTATCAAGATTCCTTACAATACTGACATTTTTCTTTATTCTATTAATATAGCAATATGGCACAGTGCAAACTTAGTCCAGCCTGGCAGTGACTGGCTCATCAGTTTCCTATAGCTTCTTCCTATGTTTGCTTTCTTATCTGTCCTCTGGAACACATCCCATTTGCCATAGCTTGTTGCCAGGCTGGAAACCAACCAGTCTTCCTTAGCTGGTCTCCCAATGCCCCTTGCTTCCATGAGACTAGAAACCAGCTGAGCATCACTTCATTCCTGCTCACCTAAGTGTGCTTGCCTACATTAACTTGTGCCTATTTAACCTTCTCACTGTTTTGGTGACACAAAATGTGTGAATGAGATGAAGTTACCCTATAACTCTTCCTATTTTCCGGACATCCACTGTTCCTTTACATATGTCTTTATTCAGCTGCAGTAAAGCAGGACTCTGTCCCCTTCACTCATGCCACACTTGAATGGTTTCCAATAAAATAAGGAGTTGTATTTTTCAGAGTTGTATAAATAGAGACCACACTGCTATCACTTGCCATAATAATAACAAGTAACATCTGTGACTCATCACTGTTAGAAGACAGTGTCTCCAGAGGGCAGAAAAGTTGTTTTTACAATGGATATGTTACTAGTTATTACTGCAAAGAAAATACATAAATTTTGAAACAAAATATCAAGCTATCAAAGAAATAAACCCTCCTGCTACAGGACATAAACCATGCTCTAACTAATAGGGCTAAAATAACACTTTTTTTCTGGATTCCTTTTAATAGTGAGCTAATTCAAATACTCTGTCAGTAAGCCCCTGTCTGAGAAAAGATGCTGAGCAGAGTGGACCACTGGTTTGCCTTTGGAATGGTCATTCTGATCATTCTGTGAATTTGCACTTAAAAAGGACAGTAATTTCACACACACTAAGCACAAGGCACCAAACACAAGTGCAGACAAACACAGTATGCTCAATTTTAAGGAATGCTTGACTTATTTATGCTGTATATAGAGAAATGCACTGAAATACTTGCACTTAGCAGTTTCAAAAACTGGAAAAACCTGGACAGAGTAGGTAATATATTTTCTGCTGGATTTAAAAAATGTGACCGTTGAAGAGACAAGATATGATTCATTTAATCTAAATAAAGACATCTACATCTGAGTTGCTATAGGCTTCCTTTATATTTGAGAACTAGGTATATTTAGGGTGGAGTTCACCTGGTCTGTGCTAGACACCTACATCTGATCAGGTGAATCCACCCCAGAGCCAGATGCTGTTGAACCTCATCAGATCATGTAGAATGCAGAACTGTCCTCCTGTTTAGTGCAAACTCCCATGATTTCCTGTGCAGTAGAAGATACAGTATTTTAAATCTTAACAATCCTAGACTACTTTTTCTCAGACTGTGGGCTAGGATCAAGAGGGAGGTCAGGAGATGATTTAGAGTGCCAGGCTGGCAGCATGTTAAGCATCATCTCCTTTCTCTCCTCTGGGAATAGTGGTAAGGGATCACAGTTACCACTTGCAATAATTTGTATTAGCCAGGGAAAGAGCTAATTTCCTTTGATTGCTGACAGCTCACATCTCTTCCAGGGCAAAAGAGTGAATTTTTCCTGCCTCTGAATAGTGAACTGCCAATGCTCAAGGGTCTACAAGCACCGAAAGGGAACTGTGTTTTCAAAGCATTTGAGAACCTCCACCCCAGCTGTGTGAGGAAATTCCTGATGGCATCAGACACCAAACTCTTCCAACTCCCATGCCACAAGACTGCCCTGGAAATGCCACCACCAGGGGAAAAAAGATCAGTGTTCCCTTGCCTAGTTTTGAGGCTCTGGGTTTTGCCAGAGCTATTTTAGACTGTAACTCCGAGCTGTCCTCGGGAGAGACTCCTCTCACTCTCACTACACACAGTATCTGTTGTCTCCTAAACAGGATGCATAAAATTCCCCGCCATACACACTGGGAAAGGCAGAGAAGATCTGCCCATGAGAAAAATCTCTAAGCAAATTACTCAAATAAGAAATTGGGAGCAACTGACTTACATATAACAGGGAAATACTTTTTTCAGTTGATATTTTTTTTTCTCTTCAGATATTTAGATAATGATGGATCATCAGTATGGGAAATCAACACAACTTTAAAATAAACTTGAATGTGGTCATGCTGTCACTGATGCATATTCTTTCAGTGCTGCTCAGTTCTCCTCCATTTCCCGTGGTTGTTGATTTCCACTGCATAATTACTACATTGCAGCACTTCATAGAAGTGGAAAGCAAAATACTGCAGGCAGAGTAAAGTTTTAGACTGCAGTATATACATCAAATCCTCTCAAAAGCTGGAAATCTGCAATTACATGCTGAAATGTTGCCTCACTTACCAACTGATATGGTCCAAACAGCAATTATTTTGGCGAAAGCCTTAGTTCTGGAGTTAAAGCGGCTGTGGTGGATGGGGTTCCGGATGGCAATGTAGCGATCCAGGGAGATGGCACAGAGGTGCATGATGGACGCCGTGGAGAAGAGCACGTCCAGGTAGATCCAAATGGCACAGAGCTTTCTAGGTAGAGGCCATTCGTATCCTGCACAAGAGAAAGTTGGCATCAGCTAAAGATGTGGCATATATCTCATGTTGTGACACGTGTCTTAGTGCATATATCCTTCTAGGAGGATAGTAGTAAGTACTAAGTAGTAGTAAGCGATACATTTAGAAGCTGCCTGCCACTGTTTTAAGAAAATATTTTCATTTGTTTGTAGGCTTCTAACGCTGCTTAGTTCTCCTAACGCTGCTTCTTTCCCAGGCTACAGGCAGCATATGCTTTTTCTTTTTAATTCTGTTTGCATAATGCTAGTGCTTGGTGCTATGATTAAACATTTTTTGGCAGCAAATCTATGAAAAGAGAAGCAATTTTGTCATTGGAAATCTGCAAGTTCTCAATTTTGCTTTAGGACTTTCTATCCACGTAATTACTGCATTATCAACACCTGCTGATATGCAAAGCTGCCTTAATTCTGAAAGTAAAACTTTGGATTTAATGGAAGCTAAAGAAGAAAAATTGTCTTGTTCCATACCAGTGATATTTATCTCACCTGTATTTAGGCCTCTACCATATACCTAAATAAGGATATTCCCTCTGTCAATGAATATTGATAGGCTCCTCCAGGGAAAGCAATCCAAAGCAGATGCATTAGTGTTTACCAATATCCAACCTACAGCTTGTTTACTGCAAATTAAGCCCTTACTTTTTCCTTGTTTTTTCTACTACCTATAAAGATTAATTGATTACTGTACTTTCTCAAAGCTGTTGGGAGATGGCTAGCATGGCTTGCCTAGTTTTGTGTTTATTTTTTTGTCTTCCAGTCTAAGAAAAGCCTAGTACTTTATCTTTTTCTTACAGATCATGCTTTTAAAACTTTTTTCTTTCTTATTTTTCTGCCCTGGAATGTGTTTAATTTGTCTGCATCTTGTATATCATTCATTGATTAAAGAGGACTCGTTACTCTTGCAAAGGCCTCCTGAGTGCTAAGTGAAATACAAGACTTCTTCATGGATCTTGAAGGGAATGCCTTTACTTTATACAAGTAAATGGAATGGTAAGTGTCTTTTGTGTGAAAATATCATGCTAGTGAAGCACATTTAGCTAATGATACATTTTGACAGCCAGATCTTGTTCAGCATTCTTGAAGGCCAGACAAATTTCACCAGTAGAAGCTGGTTTGCTTCTTTACCTTTGCACTCACAGAATGTTGTTTGTTGCTTTCAGACTTTCTCTTCAGGGGTCCAGATTTTTGTTGATGATTCTCATCCTGTCCCTCTGAGTGCTTGTAACCTCTCCCAGCTTGGTGCTTTTGGAAAGCTGTGTAAGCTATCACTCCACACACTATACCTGTTGTTCAGAGCAGTACTGAGCAGACCCAGGCTAAGCAGAGCCCTGCAGGACCCCCATTCAAAATCCCTTCTATTCCTGCAGGGAACCACTACCAGCTCTCCTTGGAGCAAGTTTTGCAGTTATCTTGTAGTGATTTAATTCAGAGGATATTACCCAAGCTGCCCAAGGTAGTGTGGCATGGGACAAAGCCAAAGCTCATATTGTGAGAATATGTAAGTATTCTGGGGACTGCCTGTCTCCTTTGGAGATACAGTATGAGATTTGCAACAGCAGGAATGGAAGGAGAGGTGAAAGAGGTGGTCTGTGCCTAATTATGTTTTGTCTCAGTGTGTACTGAGGAGACTTATTTCTTGGTGTTCTTGGGTTGCTGTAATACAAGCTGACCCTGACAAGCCATACAGCACTTATGGATGTATTTTATCATGTTTTCTGGTCTTCTGTGGAAAATCTGGTCCCTGGAGTGTGTTATGTGATGGCTGGCTTTCAGGGGCATGACTTCCCAGTAGCATCTCTCTGTCAGGCCAGGCCAGTTTACACAGGGAAAACCATTAAAGTATTTTTACACTTGAAAACATACATCTTCTCTTGCTTCAGTGACCTTTAGGAGCACATTTGTCATATTCTTCTAGATTTCTTGTCTTTGCAATAAACCAGAATGAGGCAGGGATGGCAGCATCTGCCAGATAAACTTCCTTAGAGACTACAGGTTCAAGAAAGTATATGAGAGGAGAAAACTCTGGATGCAATAAGGTGCCCCCTTAAGGGTGTGGATAACATCCTCCAGGAAGTTTTCTGCTCTGTAGTCACATCCACCTTGGCAGGACTTACTGGGTGCTGCCTTTTCCAGCAGAGTCTGGGGCTGCTGGGTGGATGGAGAACCCTGCCCAGCCCAAAGGGTGCAGACTGGTGCAGGACCATGGCTGGGCACCCAAACCAGAATTGCCCACAGTAGCTATAAACCTCTCAAGAAAATCATCTCTGGGCAAAGCAATCACCATACCCCTTCAGGGGGCTGGTGGTGGGGCACTCTTGTTCCACAGCCTTGGAGGTGTCCCGGCAGAGCAGGTGTGTGCAAAGGCCTCCAGTTTGAGCTCAAGACTCTCAGCATAGGTGATGTGGCTGAAGCTGAGCAGCCGTGGCCAAGAAAATGCTCCTGTGGAAGGGGAGGTTTCTCTCCATGCCATCACTGATCCTCCTGGAGGCTGATGGTGCACCACACCAAGATGGCTCTCCTGGTACCAGTGCGTGCCGCCAGATGATTTTTCACCCCAAGTTATGCTGCTTCCGTTCCTGGTCTAGCGAGGGAAGAAGCAGGGAGAGTTGGCGAAGCCACCGCAGCCCCTCCCCTGTGCCTTCGGGCGCCCTGCGGCTCCCGTGCCCCGGCCGCCGCCGCCTTTGCCCGGGACGAGGGCTCCGGCTTCCCGCCGTGCGGGAAGGGCATCCAGGCCCCACCCCCGGATCCCTCCCGAGACACGGGTTTGGCCATCCTTTCCCTCGGCGGCGGAGCCTGGCCAGCAGGAGTCCCTGTTGCTTGTCTCAGGGAATCACGCACGACTTAAATCTCACCCATCGGACAATTCCTGTTTCACGCTGTTTCTCCCGCCAAAGATAATCGCACGCTAATACGGTAAATCACGGTGTTGCACCATGACTGGTGCCAAATGCAGCTTGCAAATGCTGCTGGGGGCGATCTGTGCAGAGATACTGAAAATGGAAAATAAACTTCCAACTTTCTGGATTAAATCTCCCTTAAGAACAGGCTCACGTTTGGACCTTAAGTCCAAAAGTAGTGAAGTAATAGAAATCTTTCAAAAACAATCTACTTTCCTCCTGACAATGTGTAGTTTCTCTTTGAGCTGCTGCAATTCAGTAGCATTGGAAGGCTCATTTCTGAAGTTTAAGGACAGTAACAGCCTGGCAAAACTGGTGCTGAACACATAGGGTGCTGTGCTGCTTGTTCTGGTGTGAGCTGTGCTGCAAATGATTTTGGTGAAAATGAGAAGAAAGATCTGCTATTAATCACCTGCAAGGGCATGAACTGTGAGTCATTATTAACGTAAATAACTTCTCTTAAAAAATAATAGTTTTGCATTTGTAAATGTTACTAAACAGGCAGAATGAATGCCCATCCATTTCTTAACTCCTGTAATATTTATTCCAGCATTTGCTAGTAGGCTAATGTCTAAGCAGAGTATTGGTGATAAGAAAATTATTTACATTTTTATTACTTTGTTAAAAATAATTGAGGGGGCTGCCTACTTTGAATCTAAAAGTAGTCATTAGTGTTTCAGTGCATATTTGCAAGGCAAAGTAACTGGCAGGACCCTACATTCTCATTGGGAACGTAAAAATTATGAGCCAGGGAAAAAAACCTGAAAGCAATAGAAAGAACAAAGCATATTCACATACACTTTGAGGCAATTCATCTGACAACTGAGTAATAAACTGATGTTATGGACTGTGTTTAAAATGCCTGTAGCTGGAAATATAAAGTAGGAAAAGATTCAAGTACTTCACCTGTTCCACCCATTAACCAGTGATATATATCTCAATTTCTATGGAGTGATAACAATTTTCTGTGGTAAGAGAATTAAATCATGATGACAACAAGATGTTATTGCATGCAATATTTAAGGCTTGTCAATAGATGCAGTAGGTTAAACAGCTAATACTCACCATACAGTATGGTTAACATGGACACAGGCATGACAAGGAAACCTAGCAGCATATCAGCTATTGCAAGTGACATTAGAAAATAGTTAGTGGCATTCTGTAGTTTTTTCTCCAGTGAAACAGCCATGATGACAAGAATATTTCCAGCAATGGTTAAAACAATCACTATCACTGTCAGCAAAGCCGGCCAGTTTTTCTGTGAAGGGCAGCACGGTGGGCTCATGTTACTTTCACATGAAAGATTGGTTAGGTTGTCAGAGTTCACAGTCAGGTTGCAGAGATGTGATATATTAATTTCTCCAGCTCCATAAACATTTCTGTAGAATCTTCTCTCATGATTTATTTGTATGAAGGAGTTTGCAGTTGGGTTCACAGAGCTCTCTCCATCACAAAGAATATCCATTGCTAAGTCCAAAACCACAGAGATAAATTGTGAAAAACAGGAAATTATCACCCTTTGTCACCATTGGGCATTATATTCCTCAGTTCTCCATGCCAGAAGTTGAGGGAGCACAATCTTTTGTTGACTGTATTTTTGCCACTAGTGCGATGTAGAAAAACATACCAGAATTATTCCAAAAGCTGAAATCTTTTGTTTTCAGTTCCATAGGAAGTCCAGTGTTGGCATATATTGAAAATCCAGCTGAAAAGTAAGCCCAGGCTGTAGGATACAGAATGTGGACTTGAGGCTTAAGAGAGCAAAAATGTTGGAGAAATAAAAGACATAAAACTTTTGCAACCACTAGGACTCCCCTCTGGAGCTACATCTTATTGCTATTGGTAACTGTTATCACACAATTTTAAACTCAGCAGTATTAAAATATCTTGCCATATTAAACAGCAAAGCTCTTGCTTCTCTATTAAGAAAGTTGATTAATTATTCCATCCAGCATCTTTCTCTTGAAATAATTAAATATGCTCTTATTTATAGTGCATCTTCCATAATATGGCTGATAGTCTCTGTCTTCTGTTGTATTTCAGAATCATTTTCAGCCTCATATCAGAGACTACACATTCTGCTCCATGCTGATTTTTGTAGCTAATTGTACCTTTTGGCCCAGCATGGCTTCAGAATGGAAATTAAACAACTTGATACTGTTATAAAAGAATACAATTTAAGGAAGACTTACATTGCCCTTCAGAGCCCACTTTCAAACTGCAAATAGATGCACTTTGCACCTTGGTTTACCATATTCTTCGCTGTGTTTAGCCAGTTCTGTGTCTTTTTTCTTCAGCCTCCTCCACAATGGTGGTATTTCAAATAGTTTTTTGACTTCTAAACTGCACACTTCAGTGAAGCCAGTTCCTGTGCTGCGAGGCTTGCTCTTTTCTTCTGAGAGATAGGCTGCTTGCCGGCTCTTTCCTTGTGCGTTTCCCCGCCCCAGGGCAAGCTATATTTAAAGTAATAATAATATCAGAGCCCTTCTTGAAGTGACACAAAAGAAAGCGCGCGCACACACTCACGAGAAAGCAGCCTGCACGGAGGAATTACTGATTGCAACAGGAATGGAATTTCTCCCTTGCTGCCTTGTTCGGATTGTCAGACCTCCCACTCTCTGGATGTCAGAAACTGCAAGGTAGCAACAGCAGAGGAAGGCAGGGGAGGGCAGAACAGAGAGGGTCTTTTTGGTAAGCCAGCAGTTTTTTCGGTGCTTATTTTAGAGGTTCTCTGCTTGGGGGCTTTTACAACACGCGCTTTCAATTTGCAGTGGATGGCTCACAAACAGCTGCATGCAATTACAGGGATTTACAGGATGCAGGCTTGAGAGAGACAAAATCTAAGGCTTGCGATGGTAGATATGAGTGAAATATGTAAGTGGGAACTTTTCTCCATAAAGAGGGGAAATTCCACCAGCCTTAAAAGGCAGGCATAATATTCAGTCCCCTTCAGTTTTAACTTCAGGTCTGTGCTGACGTGTGACTCAAATTGGCAACAGATATTTATAAAAAATTGAAGTCGCTCTGATGTCATACTCATTTGTCAGGAGATGGATGTAACAGCTAACTCCAGCAGCCTGTCCCAAGCAGGTGTCCCAAATGAAGCAGTTCTGTAAAGCAAAGTGTGTAAAGAGCAAAGGGGAAACAAAACAGCCTGACACTGCTTCTGCCTTCTACCTCTGCTACCAGGACACACATGAAGAAATAGCCAAGTCTTCAATTTGCCACCTAAAAAACCCCCGCTCCCGACTTTGTGAGACTTACAGTTGTCAAATGTTTTGCTGAGTGGGACTGCTGCTCACCTGCACATCCTGAAATGTATTGCAGACTTCCCTCATGCTGAGGGCAATGGCTTTAAACGGGCAGGCTCAGGCAGTTTACAGTGAGAGCTCACACAGGTGCCAGTGTCACTGGGCACCCGTGGGTACTGGCAGGCCCTTGGGAGCTGCAGGCTGTGTGCTGTGTGCAGCACTCTTAACCATGTTGCAAATCCTAGGGAACTTCAAACACATGGAGCGTTTCTACAGCTCAGCTAACATGCACTAATCTCTTCATGGACCCAAAGTGTACCAAAGTGAGTCTCAGAGCACACACTGCAGCCCATTCAGATCAGTGGGGCACAGTTACAGAAAGCCTTTCATGGTAAAGTTTTTTGGAGCCCATTTTACTCACAGGTGAACCCAGAAAGATGGGGAAGATGAGGCAGCAGCTCCCACTAATGCCCACGTGAGACTTGGAAATGTGTCATGGCAGTATTAAAGTTTCCCATAGGTGAGGCCAGAAGACTATCAGATAACACAAACTGGTAAAAAAAGGTGGTAATACTGAGGTTAGCAAGAAATGTTTTAGCCCTGGCAGTCTCACCCAGAAGCTAGGAGAGGAATTTTCCTCTCTCCTTTCATACAACAACCAAATAGGTTACTGTGTTCACCGAGTGAATTTGATATCCATGCTCCAGAGGGTTTGGTGGCCATCCCCATGAACGTGAGAGTGAATATCTGATACAGAGGGTAGGCTCCACTTCTACTGAATGCAGCCACTGTGCAGCACAGGGCACAGGACCCTTGGCTAGGGCTACAAACAACCTTTGTGAGGAGCCCAGGTGTCCTGCTGTTTTCTTAGAAGGCTGGCTTTGGGCTCTGACAGCTATAGCGCAGCAGTCATGGGTGTGTCATGGATGTCACTCCTAAGAAAGAAGTAGCAATATGTTTATTGATATAACTCAGTGGTTTTGCCAGACTTCATGGTAAATGTGAGAAGGGTTTAATAAGATCTGATGACAAGGTGCACTTGATTATTTATGGCATAAAGGGCAGACAAAAAAGGCGGGGAGAGAGACACTCCTGCTGAATCATGAGGTTCAGAAAAGACCTCCTTGTGTTCTAAACTCCTTCTTAGAAGGGAGTTTATGTGTGCCTAATTCCAAACTTAGACTTAGTCAACAGTTTATGTCTCAAGGATTATATGTGCATAATAAATCTTTTGTGTCACTTAGCTAAGATTTCAGAGTTTAGCATTCTATTATTCATTTACTGAGAGTCTCTTGAGTCAAGGGATCTCTCAACTCTGAGAGGTGACCTTGAGAGCTACTACTCAAAGCAAAGACCCTGGCAAACAGTCCACTGCTCTGCAGGAGAGATCAATGAGCTCTGGCTGTTCACTATTTATGAAGTAAGATAATTGATTTCTAGTCATATTTGCATACCAGCTACAGAAGTTTGTTTCTTCCAAACTTGGCCTGAGTTGGACCTTTGACAAACAGTATGGTTGGGGGTGTACAATGACTCATTTAAAACTGCAGCTCTACTCAGGACATCAAGAACATAAAAGTGAAGTGCAAGCCACCTAAATGTTGCCTTGCCTAAGACCTTTGTATCTACAATCATAAGCTTTTCATTTAAGGACTGCACTGTTTAGTTTGGTGTAGCTGTAGACACATGCGTATCTCCCACAAGGTCTGAGTACCTTCTGAAAACTTAGCTTTCCTGACAGAAAGCAGTTTGGCATATGTGAAACTGAGGCACAGGCATATTAAAATTCTTTTTAGGTTTGCACATGAAGCATTGATAAATCAGAAACCAGTTTTGTGCAGGTTGACATAGCAGAAACAAATCTGTGATCTTATGTCTTCTAGCGAGTGTGTTGGATGTACAACTGATCATGAGTTTATTGTATTATTTATCTCAGGATTTTTATTTTATTTTGACTGCAAAAGTTACTCGTCTCACCTCCTCCCAAGAACCTGAAAATTGTTATAGTATCACTGTAAGTATCAAGCAAAGGAAGTGTCCAGTCTTCGTTTGCACAGCCCAACAAAAAGAGGGTACCAGGGCTCGCATCCATCTGCCAAACCAAGTGTGAGTTCTACCTTGAGGATTCAGTGTAGAACAACTCCTAGGTGATCAGTCATGTCCAAACCAACCTTGACCACTGCTTTTCCTAAAGGTGGAAAGGTCTGGAAAACTGTAGGTCCCACAGTCTTCCATTTTAAACAAAGGAGCTTGCAAGTCAATAGCAGCAGAGCCTCACACGCTGCAACCTGCAGTCCCAGGCACCGCGTCTGCGCTAAGAGCAGGCAGCTGCAGTCTGTCCCAGCCTATGTAAATTAAGTGAAATCTTAGCTTAAAATGGCAGTAATGTGGTTGTGGTAGACAGAAAGCAGTCTCTAGAAACACAGCTGGCATGGGAACAGACTGCATATTGCTTTTTAATTTCTGGAAGGCACCAACGTAACAAATTCGTGACAGCCCCTCCCCTGTTCCCTAGCTCTGCTTGGAAATTTTTTGTAGGACATTATTCTGTTCTCTTCAGCAGGTTTTTATGCTTGGCATGGTGCACATAAACACTTCCTAGAAATGCTGCTTTTCAACAATTTTCATCTGAAAGAGAAGAAGTTAAAAACCTAGTTTGCATAATTCAGATTTGGTGTTCTCAGAATTTCTCAGAACAGGATTGTTTCAGTTGTAAAACTCCCTGATTTCTGAGTTTGCCATTGCTCTCTGGTATTCTGAATAGATTTTGTAATCAGTAAATGTAGTAGTAACTGAGGATGTTAATCAATCACTCTGATATCTGAAAGTGAGGCAAGAGAAATGTGAATAATTTGTGTTGCAGTTGAGACTACTACAGTTTGGTGTCTCTGTTTGCATTCATCAGGGGCTGTTGGATGTGAATCAGAGGCTAGTTATTACAAACCAGGACTAATAACTAAAAACCCTCCTCTCTTTTTGACGCAGTTGAGCTCATTCTGGACCTCTCAGCCTTCTAGACCCATGCCATTGTAGTGAGGTGAGAACAGCTTGACATGAGCCTTCTGAAAATCATGCTGGAACAGCATCCCTCAGCCTTGCTGTTCACAGGTGATGATCCCGAGCAAGCTGGGTGTTACAGCGCCAGAACCCTTTATGGGCTGATGACTGTAAACCTGAGGTGAGTAGCTGGTGTGGTGATGTAGGGGTCTTTGCTGTGAAACAGGATGTCTGTATTAATTTGCTTTGGATTGCTTTTGAATGACAACTGAGTATTAGAAGTTGAGGCTGAAGGGAAAGCTGGAATAACTCAGTCTAACTATCATTTCTAAGTAACAAGAAAATATACATATATATATATATATATATATATAAAACTGAAGCTCTCTAAATTTTTTATGACTATCCCACACACTAATGGTAGTTTCAATCTCTGTGCTATCCCAGGTGAAGCTGAATTCATAGCTTGCTTTTAAAAATCTGATTGTCTCATTCATCCATGAGTTTTGGGAAGATGTGCCATATTCCTGAAGATTTGTAGGGTGTCATCCTTACTAACCACATTATTATTTCAGGATCTACAAGTTCCTGTTCCATACTTACAGTTCCAAGGGGAAGTTAAATGTGAGAGAGAACCCAGAGCACCTTAAGACATGTCTTTTATCTACCTAAACTCATGCGCTGAGGTCAGATTGGTGACACTGTACCTTCAACCCCTTTAGCTTGTGTCATTCCAGCGGAGCTCAGTGGAATTACTGTGACATAAAACTGATGGAATGATTAGTTGGCTGGAAATTAGAGTCAGAATTATTTCTTTCTCTCATGTGCCATTTTACCCAGTTAAGCATTTCTTTCCCCGTATCAAAATTTTTTAGTGGGAGGAAAAGTTATGAAGGACTTTGATTTGAAAGTATCCAAATATATTGCTTCAGTCTTGTTCTAAATATGATACTTTATTATTGTTGTATTAATAATATTTTCTTATGAGCCAGCTAACCAGCTGTGATGCAAATTGTCTTATTCCCAGATTCTCCTGGGCAATTTATATCCACCATGACAGCACACCCAGAGGCAGTTTCAAGTTGAACTGAGCTGAAATAAAATATTCTTGTTCAGCTAAAAAATAAACTGAAATATTTGGTTTGGGTCAAGCTCATGTAGTGAAGAAAATACTTTGTTTTTATTTTCCCAAAGGAAACCTGAATGCTTTGGGCAAAAGTGATTTGATTTTTTCCTTGAATAGAAAGTTGATTTTGTGGAAACTTTATTTCCCACCAGAGGCTGAACTGTTGGGGAATGTCCCTGAGCATTTGTGCTGAAGCAATGCAAGGCCTCTGATGCTTTAAAGAGGAACTCTGCCTTTTTAAAAGAAACCTCTCTAAAAATCTGTGCTTTATTTTAGTGAAACCTGAAGGAAAAGGTTCTTCTCCATATCTTGCTCTCAGCTGTAAATATTAACTATTTGTATACCTGACAATGACCTTTCATACCGCAAGAGACATCTGCAGATATTTGATTTACTAAAACTTGTTTTGCTTTGAATATTTTCATTTCAGTTCTGCTAGCTGATAGGTTGGCTTGCTCTAAGACAATATTATGTTGTATTCTGGTCAGCTGAGTTACAATTTGGCCAGTTTTTCTGTAGGTAAAATTTTACTGCATCCTGACACACATCACTGCAAATTCCATTATATAAAGCTCCATATTCTGTGCATTAATACCTGAATCTCTTCCACTATCTTTTTCCTCAGTTTAAACTTCCCAGAAGTAGTGAGCCTTTTCCACTTGATTTGCTTCTGCTTACTTGCTGCCCACAATTAACACTGATCATCATCCAAAACCTGTCTCCTGTCACCTGTTACCCAGTGAAATAGCTTCTTTTTAATGGGGTGATCAAAACCAATACACCATATTGCAAAGGTAGCTTTGTGGGAACTTTCTGCCAAGACAACATCATCTCTGGGGAACCTTACAGCGAAAAAGTATTTTATCAGGTGGTAGACACTGCCGAAGAAGGTAAGGGCACTTCATCTTTTCTTTCTTTCCTTCCCCTCTTCAAAAAACTTCCATCACTTTGATGATCAGTACAAAGGAAAGGGAAAACAAAAGGAACACAAAAGCAATTTCTTTTTTTTTTGTGTGTGTTCCAGTCTATGATTTGGCCATATTTCTCTGGGCTGCTTTTTTACTCTTATTTCTCTAGTAGCATGTAAACAGAAATGCAAGAGTAAAATGAATCCATAAGGACTTTCCTACATTTATGCTTGGACATTGATGGATGGAGAAGCATTTAAGAGAAAAAGAATCAATTGTGAATCCAAACATGTGGGCCATCTCTTCTGAATTTGCAGCATTGTGTAGTGGCAGGGATTAACTCAAATATATTTGTACTTTCTAGAGGCTCATGGGTCCACCAGTGTATGGCAGACAGTACCACAGAGCTGTGAAATAGGTGAGCGCCACAAGAGTGATTCACAAGAGTGATGATTAAAATGTTTTTACTTTCCATACATTTGGCAGAATCAAACAGCTGCAGAGCTGAAGTTTTACATATGTAAAAATATATATACATAAATAAATGGAGCTGCTATTTGTTACAACTCTGTATTACATCTGACAGGTGACTGCTGTTATGTTATTCCTGGGATAGCAGATTTTTCCAAGTTATTACGTTACAGTGTGTAATTTATAACCATCAAAGTGGAAAACATTATGCAGTGCATGAATTAGCATGAATTTGTGTTATTGAATATGTGCTATATTTCTAGAAATATGCAGTTATTCCTCAATGGCAAACTGAAGATTTTTGCTATCACGTTTTGTTTAGTTATATTTAACTGATTAGAAAAGCTTTAATAAATGGAAGCAGGAGTTCTGTAAAAGACATTCCGTAGTAGGTCTAATTTTGTTTGAAATGAGCAAAATTGTTTTCTTGATGCATAATAGTCCAGCATTAAATCAAGGTTGTTTAGGCAATGTGGACTGGCAAGGAGGTGCAAAGAAGTACCACAGACACACTGGCTTATGGAACCCTTAAATGTCAGTGATGATATTGTGACTATGGCTTGCCAGGAGTGTTGGTTGGTGTTACCTGCTGGGATCCAGTTTGCCTGTTTAAGATAGATGTGCACCTTAATGGTGGGTGCATGGAGGAACAGCTCCTTCCATGGAAAAGTGATTGCTGCCACTGATGCTGTGGCAGTGAATTTAGGGCCAGTCTTTCAGTGGGCTGCTGAGCTGGATCCCACCCTCTACTCATTTCATGTAAGGTGCCAATTCACATGTCCTGCTGTTGATTGTACCTTCATAAGAGTGTCTGGTTCTTAAAACAGTGGAAGACGAGACACATCCACAAAATTCAGTATAAGAATTATGTTAACCTCCAGATATGTAAATTGTCTTTTACATCTAGACACTGTGCTGTCTGAACAACTGTGCTGATATTTTGCTGTAACTTCCAGTATTTTAAATACTGTATTTCTCACAGAATTGTTTTAGTATAATTTAAGGTATTCTGGGGGGAACTGTAGTGTCTTTTTCACTTAGTAATGGAGCTACTTCCCACCTTATTTTCTAGATACGACATGTGAACAGGTACTCTCTTCAGAGCCTGCAGAATTCTGCTGCGAAGGTCCTAGAGAGATCACAAAGCCCAACAGCTTGATTTGCAAAAGGAGCTGTTATTATTTATCTAGTTTAATAGACACTGCTTTATCTGTGTTCTGGTTCCTAAATATCACTGGAATCCAAGAGTTTTTCTTTAGAACAATTAAGGCAATCAGAAGTATTTATTTAAAGCATTGAATCACTTAAAGAAACAAGTGGAATACTACTAAAATATAAAATAATTTTCCAGTGAAGTTTGATATGTCTGTAAACATTTTAGATGTAATTTTCTTCTGATTCATTTTTGAGTCCACTGAGTATCCAAATATCAAGTTTACTCTCAATTTCCACCTGGGAAGCAAGTACTGTAAATTGGGCTACAAGTGAAAAACTGATTGCTTTGTGTAATTTAATTTATACCATTCTAACATATGTCAGAACACCACTGTGTTGTGGAGTGCAATAAAAGGCTGACATGTTAATATTCTTTTAAGAAAATCCACACTCACTTGTCATCTCCAGATTTTACACGCCCATATTGTGTAAACATGGGTTACAGCTGAGTATTAGAGCCATGCAGGGCAGGCACAAGAATCCCTGAGGGCACCTCTGATCTGAATGTTAAATTGGCTTTATTGAAATATGTCTTTTAAATGAACTGAGCCTGATGTCTTTCTTGTACTGGAATATGCCATCTTAATGATGCTTCCTTGAGAGCTGCTGATGAGAGAAAGGAATGAGGGAACAGTCATTACCATTAGGAGCATGAAAGTGGTGAATGGTGAAAATTATCCCCTCTCTTCCAGCCACAAGTTTTTATAGTGTCTATTAATACATCGTAGGGCACTGCAGCTTTCTATGGTACATGCAGGGTCGCTGAGCTAATGCACAGCAATAAATCCCAAATAGCTGCTGCTCTGCCCTGGTCATCTGTGAGAAAGTTCTAAGAGATGTGCTGGCAGAACCCAGAGCAAGGAAGATATGTGTGTCTGGGCCCAGACTAGAACTAATGTGGATCAGAGTACTTCCAAAAACATGCATATTCCTCATGAGGATGGCTGCTATCACATCATGTAGCCCTGGAAGCTATCCCTTGTGAGATACCACCAAGGAAAGGCTTCACCAAGGTTGCCAGTTCCATGAGTGTAAGGGCAGGGAGGGTGCATGAGCACCCTTGGGAGGCAGCCTGGAAAGCCCAGATAGCAATTCCTGGGACATGCAGGCAGTGACTAACTGTGACAGAGCTCTCACATGGTGAGAGAGTCATGGGCAAAAAAGGAAGGCATTTCAAAATGCATATATGAAAATAGGCATTCAGTTTGATAAGGTGAACAGATACCAGGAGTAAGGACTGCTGCATAATGGCAGGACCTGCAGAACAGAAAGTGAAGGGTGTATTGGAAGTTAGAGAAGCATTTGGTGTTTGAGGGATGAACAAAAGAAAGGGGAGGGGAGGAAGATCTATCATGATCTGATGTGCAGATTCATGAGTCAGGTATCAGGCATGCAGAGTCAGATGGGTCTTTGACAAAAACTGCCTTGTAAGCCCAGGAATGACCCTTTCCCACATCCGTGGTTTGAAGTTTGTTACTTCAAGTGACAAAGCTTGCAAAAACCAAAACTCCAAAAGAGTCTTCATGTTCCATGGTTTTCTTTAAAATTTTAATGTGTTTTTGGCTTTCATACACTATCAAGTACTAATTTTAATGCCCATTTATTCTTCAGTATTTCTTAGACTGTTTTGTTTCCATGTGTTTGTCACGCATGCTGTAGAAGAAAAACTGTTCCAAGTAACTTAGACCCATGTTTGTGCTGAGAAAAGGAGAGCTTGCCAAAGGACCATAGTGTCCTTCAAACCACTGGTAAATCAATGTAGATGGAAAATCTCCTGTTTTCACTCTAACATGTTTCCAGGAGGAAAACAGCTTATCTTTGCCAGGTCCAGAATCTGGTCCTTAGTGAACTTACTGCCATTTCCCGAGGCACTGTGCCAGTGTACTCTCCTGACTGATACTGACTTTTAATACCTGGAACAATCAAAATCTCATGACAGTCTGAGAAAAAAACAGTGAAGAACCTGCTTTTATGAAGGAAGGCTTGAATGGACGTGTATGCATGTGGACATGTGTGCACAGTAGAAACTGTGTGGGTAAGTCATAACGAGTTGCACTGGTTATAGTGAGGAGCAAATTGAGAACAGGGATTTGTGCTCTTTGGGTTGAAGAGACCGGCTCCGGGTGCCACTGAAAGTCTCATCACGGACTGCTTGGCAGAGTTTGGAGCCTCTATGTTTATATGTGTCTGGTTTTATTTATAGGACGTTTTGGGATTGCTCAGTCCAAGGGAGAAAAGGCAGTGGGAAAAATGTATCTCCTTTCCTGGTTGCCTCATAGAGTTATTATGAACACAACTCACTTCTTAGCAACATACTGTTTACTGAAGTCAGAAGCTGTGTGAAGGACATTTTGGGAGTGAAAGTGACAGAAGTGCCTAAAGCATGTTGACTTTGAGGAGACACTTTTGCTGTAAGGAGAATGCGTCTGCCATTTGTGCTTTATAGCTTGTGCCCAAGAAGCCCTCCATGAGGGGAACAGAAATCAAAATGTTCTGTGGTGTTGGAAAATTTCAAGGCAATGAGACATACCTGACACTTGGTAGGTAGAATCAGTACATCACAAGACAGCTGAATAGCTTCCTTGATGTTCTCTGTGTAGTGTTTAATTTAATGCATGGCATTAAAATGCAAGATTCAAGCCAAAAATTTGCCTCTGAAAATAAACTGGGCATCCACTCAAAAGCTTGACAGGAGACGAGCCTTGTATTGTGGCCCTGTATAATGGCTGAAACCCCTGGGCCCTGCCAGCCTGGCAGAGTCCGAATCCTGAGTCAAGAACTGCTCAGGGAATACCTTTTTCCTGTAAATATGTGCTTAAATGTCAGGCTGCTGAAATGGTGCATCCGGCTTGACTTATCCTGTGCTGGTGATACGTGAGCAAAGAAAATGACATGATCCAAGACAAATAAAGGAAGACTCTGTGAAAGCAAGAACTTCTTTTTCCTCACAGTGAATTCACTCACTGATTGTTCACTAATGTTCCCACTAATGTGAAGTTAATGGAGAACTGAGCTCCCACAAAATGTGATCTGGAAAATGTGGGGCAGATGTTCCTGTGTCAAAATGCATGAATTATGTCAGCAAATCTGAAAAGATGTGATCCAGATCCTATTTGATGGGCTGCACTCTTCAAAGTGCTTCCTGGCATGGGGGTACATTGCTTACTGGGACTTGTAGGTGGTTCTCCAAAATAAGTAATTCAGTGCTACCCACCTCACTGTACAGACTGGAAATTTCCTGAGCTCCAGAAAAGCGCAAACATGAAGCTGAAGAATGGTGAACCTCCTGCCTGCAGCTGTCTAGGACAGGACTCCTAATTTTCCCATCCTCCTGCTGCTCTTTTGATGTTTAGATATGTTGTTCCAAGTTCCCATAACATCCGTGTGTGCTGGCAAGGGAGATCTGTAAGCTGTGTACTGTCCAAACTAAATAGCAAATTACCACCTGAATTCTGCTTTCTGAATGTCCCCCCACCCAGTTTCTGGGGTGAGCTATTGATCTGGGCTCACACACACTGTGTAGCTACTAACTTTTACAAAAGAAGCCCTCAGTGCTTGCACACTCTGTCTCTGTCTCACACATGCCCCTGCTAAAGAACAGGAATGAACCATTAGAGTCACAATTTGAAAATTGGAAACATGCCGGTGTGTGTCATCAGCTGGAGAAAAATCCCATCATTACACTGCTACTGCAGCATCCTCCTTATTTGTGCCTCCAACTCAAATGCATTAAATTTAATTACACAGTAGTGCAACTCCAAGACAGGTTTAATATATTTGGATAAGAAAAGCTTCAAAAAAACCCACTCCTTCGTTAATAATTGAAGCAGCACTTGTGCTGGCAACAGAGGAAAGTGAAGTGATACCAGGCTGTGGGACATGGAGCAGAGGATCAGCCACAGAACCATAGAATGGTTTAGGTTGGAAGGGGCCTTAAAGTCTGTCTACTGAGAAACATGGGCAGGGACACCTTCCATTAAACCAGGTTGCTCAAAGCCTCATCCATCCTGATCTTGAACACCACCTGGGATGGGGAACCCACAGTTTCCCCGGTCAACCTCTTCCAGTGTCACATCACACTCACAGGAAAGAATTTCTTCCTAATATCTAATTTAAAGCCACCCTCTTTCAGTTTCAAGCCTTTTCCTTTTGTCTTATTGCTACATATTCTTGTAAAAAATCCCTCTCCAGTCCTCCTGTAGCTTCCTTTAGGTGCTGGAAGGTGCTATAAGGTCTCCTCTCCAGGCTGAATAACCCCAACTCTGTCTTGCGAGTACAATGGGAAACAGTTTTAATAAATACATACAAACAGTGAATTGTAATCATTTAATCCAGAACATGAAGTGAACAGATGCAAAAACCCCATTAGGTCAGCTACTGTGTGTGCCTGGCTGTATAGAACTGAGACAAGAAACGGTTGTCTGTTGGATCAGTTCTCTGCACTCCAAGCACTGGGATGCCTGCTTCCTAAAATACCTTCCTTTGTAAAGAGGTTTTGTTTTTTCCCCTTGACAATGGGCAGTTTAAATTCACCTTGTGATTTCATCCACTGTTACTAATTGCATCCTTTCTCCTAGAGGAGGTAACTCCCCTTGGTGTGCAGACCTTTCAAATATTGATAAGAAAATCGCTGTCCCTTTTTTTTTGCAGATGTGTTTAAGCCCAGTTGTATTCATAGTTAGCCTTTCAAATCTTCCCTCCTGCAGCCCCCGCATCCTTTTTGCTGCTCTGCTTTTACAGTTTCTCACTGGGCATACATCTTAGCATTTCAGCTTTGATGGTAATACAGCAGCCAGGACAGGTTTGCCAAACCCTTGCATATAGAATGGAAGACAATTAATACTATTGTTTTTCCATTTTACAGTAGGAGATAGACAATTTGCTTTTGCTTGGGCTCTCTTCCCACCACCTTCTGAGTTGGAACAGATTGTCCCCTCCAGTGTAATTTCAGCCTTTATTCAGTCCTTTAAATTGTGTTTGGACTTTTTCCCTTAAAAACAGGGGAGGGGAAAAAAAAGAGGAAGTGAATGAGAAGCTTTTGCACTTCCTGGTTATCAGCTATTTCATTTCATCATTAACTTTTTCTGTGTTAAAATGATTTGGGAAAAGTAAGTCATGAGAGGAGGTTGTGACAGATGAAGGGGATAAAGCAGGACAAATGCTTTGGAGGACAGGGGACCAGTGGGAAATAGGCACTTTTGAAGAGGGTGCTGAAGAAGGTATAGCAGTGATTACCTTGGAAGGCTGAACTGGGGAGGCCAAGTAGGCAGTCAGTAGCAGGAAGTGATACATCAGTGGCAGCTAAGGGACAGTGGGGGAAAAAAAAGTGGTCCTGTGCCACTGTCAATTGACTGGAATTGACACCAGCTGGGTGTGAAGGGTGAGAAAAGCAATCCTTGTGGTACAGCAGAGCACATGGGAAAGCTGGATTTGTAACTTGAAAGACAGTTAATTATCTGGGAAATCCTTCTGTACTGAGGCAATGGCTTGATATAGGATGTTGTGGCATGGTAAGATGGAGTAGAGTGAACATTA